CACATTTGATTTGTGTTTGTTTTCCTCTAGGGTGGACTTTATATCTTCCAGCTGTTTGATTATTACGCCTGCAGTGGGATCCCTCTGGTTCTTTTTGGCATACTGGAAGTGATTTGCATTGGCTGGGTGTACGGTAAGTCACAGTATTGATACTCTGCAGTGACATCACGCTGGGGGGTCCTGCATATGTGTCTATGTTGAACAGTTACCATGGCGACACAGTGCATACATTAGATACACTGACAGATCTAAGTCTGAAAACCCAAAATGGATTTAAACAACACATTATCAGGAGCCTGTGGTCTGTCCAAGAGTTCATGCTCCTGTTTATGTGCTGAACTGAAGCTGTTGGCTAATGCTACTGAGCTCTTGTGTGTAATGCTTGTGTTTGAGCACAAATCATCTCAAATGTTGTAGTTCTAACTAAATCACTTCTTTCTGGTCAGATTGGTAAAGTTTACATGATGCTTCTTAATTCAGAATAAATTGTTATTGTTATTAAATAGTTAGTTAGTTAGTTAATAGTAGAATTAAAATATTCTACTTTGAGTTTACATGAAAATAAGTATTCTGAAAATTCTGCTCAGATGAGGGTGGAGAAGGGTTACGCTACGGACACAGACATGATCCAAACTTTTTCTCAGTCATTCCAATGATATTTGCACAGCAGCTGGAGAAGAAGGGAAGAGTGTTGACAGACAAAGTGTGAGGCTGTTCTACCTCAGCCCACTCCCACATCCCGCTCACAAATCCAAAGAGACACGGATGAAAGTCCAAAGAGAGGACTGGTGGAGCCAGATCGTCTGGATCGTGTCAGAAGGGCGACACAACGAACATGAACTGGATGACTGGAATTATTTTTAACAAGAATAAACATTTACACGATCAAGGAATAAATTAATTCGGCTTTAAAATTGGAATAAACCTCCCACTTACTTTGGAATTAAGTTTAATTCCGAATAATAATTTTCATTAGGAATTAAGTGTTTACATGGTGTTTTCAAAGTGGAATTTATTTTTTATTCAGAATTACATTATTTTTATTCGGAATTAAAGTTCTCATGTAAACGTGACAACTGTGGTAAAATAAAAGTCAGAATAAAGTCTAACATGAGTAAGAGAACTCCAGACAGAGCAGAGCCTACAGTTAGCATCACACACACAGGATATGTGGATGACATCAGCTGCAAAGTATCAATTCTTACAGTTGTTTCATTATGACTTTTGTCTGTCTCAAGGAGCTGACAGTTACTACAGTAACATCAGTAACATGATCGGGTATCGTCCGTGGCCGTACATGAAGTACTGCTGGAAGTTCATCACCCCGGCTTTGTCCACAGTGAGTCAATGACCACATCATTTCTGTCGCTCTGCACCACAGACTGTACAAACAAGTGGACTAAGAGTGTGTGACGTTACTCATAGTGTTCCAGTCAAATGAAACTCACCCGAGCCAGCAGTTATAGGGGCAAATTTTGGAGCCAGGACAAAATAATGAAATAAAAAATAGATTATGTAAATTAATACGAACATTTTAAGACCAAAATGATGAGCACAGCAGCAGGTACAGAGAGAGAGGGGTGACAGTTTTCAATGTAAAGTCAACTTTGTCCATTTACAGTCTATGGTCTGAGCCTGGTGTCTGTCAAAACTACACACGACTGTCAGATGGACATGATTGATTGTTGGATGGAAAATAGCTAACTGAAAAAATAAACAAAAATAAAAATCTGAAGTTTACCCAATCAGTGAGTGAAGCACTAAACATCCTTAAAGTTTCACTGCATAACTTTTCTGGTGGATGGTGCGCCACATGCTTGTCTCCATGGAGATGTTATTGCTTTGCCAGGAATGTTATGTTACAGTATGGAAATAAATCTGGAAATAACAATGGAGACTAGTTACTGGTCATATCTGTGGAGAAGCGAGCCTGCACAGAGTCATAATTCATGTTTTTCAAGGTATTTTTGAGCTACTATAAAACGCACATAAGGGAGATGGGTTTAATGCCACACTGTGGAATATTACATGCAAAGAAATAACATCTCCATGGAATTACACAGACAGTCTTCCACCTTCCACCAATTTACATAGTTTATGTACTATTAAGCACTAAAATCACATCATATTGTCACAGTTTTTTTTTATCATGCTGATATCAGAATCTGAGTTGAGTATCAAGTTCAATCCTTATTAACGACATTTAAAAAAAAAAATTCTATTATTCTGTAACAAAAATCATTCTTAAACTGTGCATTATAACTTCTTGTGGTTACCATGACAACATATGTTTCTCTAGATGGTTTTGCTCTTCTATTTGAGCCAATTCAAGCAACTCAAGTACAACAACACTTACACCTATCCAGCCTGGGGTTATGGACTGGGACTCTTCCTGGCGTTCTCCTCCGTTGCCATGGCGCCTTTGTGGTTCCTTTACAAACTGTTCACCAGCTCAGGGACACTGAAGCAGGTACGACTGAGCACAACAGCACCCCCAAACACACTGACACTGTGAGCGCGACCACTTCCTGTTAGGGTTGGGCAGTAATACAGTATTACAGTATCCCACGGTATCAAAAAGTAGCAACAGTATCAGTTTCATTATCCTCATTAAAAAAATCTGCAGCACATAAGGACCTGATATAATATTATAATTTCTTGGTATCTAAAATTGTTTGCTCAGCACAAATGACTGCGTGGTTGTATTTTCAGTTTAATGCATCACAATTTAAAACTAATAGTGTCTATAATGTTTCTGTTAACTGTGTGGGGTGACATTTGTTAGTTCGATTCATTTCGTTCTTTAGTTTGATTAGTTTCGTTCAGTTTCTGTTTCGTTTCATGACGCTCATAAGGGAGACCAAGAGATGTCCAGCTGCAAGTGTGTTGGTCTCCCTCCCAAAAATACTAGTACTTCTGCAGTTTGGCAGCATTTTGCCTTGGGGCCACATTTGTTTACTTTTTACAGAAACAAAACTTAAACCCACATGACTCATTTGCATAAACTATAAAGCTCTGATAAAAACAGCTCTTTCCTTGTGCTGCTGATGTGGTTCAGCTTCTGTCAGACTAAAGGACACGACTCAGTGGAATCTGAGTGTTCTTTCTGTGACAGAGGGGTGTTCTGCTGATGGTGAGTCTGTTCTGTGTTTCTGTCGTGTTGGAGCTGGTTCATGTGAAACTTTTCAGAGATTATACATCTGCAGGTCGTACACATGGACCGTACAGTGGTGTGGCTTCATAGCTTACCTGAGTCGTACTAAAACATTTTGATAATACAGAACATGGCGCAAAAGACTGTATACCCAGGTAAAATCCTGAGAAGATTTAACGGTATCAATATTTGGATACTGCCCAACCCTGTCCAACCGTGTACCCAGGCCCACTGACAGAAATTTGGGAGCTTGGGGTAAGAAACCTCACATGGGCTACACTCTAATATAAATGAATAGGAAAGGGGTGCAATTCTGGGCCCCTTAAACCCTGGGGCCCTGGACAACTGACCCCTTTGTCCCCTCGTGTCTACTGCCCTGTGTCTGTCTATGGGCTTTTTGATGACATTGTATTTTGCCATAAAATATCCAAAAGGTTAATCCACAAATGTTGAAACTGGCATTTGCAATTATTGTCTAAACCCAAGAACTCACTGTATTACATCATCATTTTGCATTTTCATCATAATCATTTTGGCCGCCCTCGTCTGTGTTCATGAATATTGTCGTATAGAAGCTGTCATGTTCCGTTCACATTTCACTGTTGTTTCCTTTATCAGTGTCTAACTGCTGATCTCTCACCCACAGAGGCTGAGATTTGGAACCACACCATCACAAACCCTGAGTGTGCCCTTCTGAACGCCCGTCACCTCAACCAGCTTCTCCATTTTTTGGTTTAAAGATTTGAAATGACTTGAAGCTCAAAGCAGACGACTTGGACTTGACTTGGACTTATGGGGCCAGTGACTCGAGACTTGACTTGGACTTGTCTGTATTTGACTTGGGACTTGACTTGGAATTGAGGTCAAAGACTTGAGACTTACTTGAGACTTGCCGTGGCCCATCACAATATCTCCAACAACAAGCTCCTTTGCTTAAATTCATTGTTATGTTGCAGGATTGACTAAAACAACAGAGGGAACTACACGGACCATGATCCTTTGCTCTGTTTAAGTGCAAACAACATGAAAAAATAATGTTATAAGCACTTTTAAATCTTAATTATCTGGATTATGACGGAACCAAAGTCTTATCAAGGCATTTTAAAAGTAAAAAGCATAGGCAGAGTTTGATTTTTGAGCTGGGAGGGCAAATGTTTTAACGTCAGGGCACTAGATTCAAGATTTAAATGTGTGTTGCCATTTATGATGGTACGCCACCAGAAATATACCAGTACTAAACCAGGACTAAACCAGGACTGAGTGTCAGGACAGGCCCAGAGGTGTGCCCCTGTAGACCGTTGGGTGACTGTGGGAGAAAGGGGTGTCGAACCCTGGCGCAGAGCTCCACACCCCACAGGGTGAAGCACAGTCGACACCCAGTCACGCTTTGCAGACACCCTGCTCCATGGGCTCAGGGTTCTCTCTCAAGTCCAAGATTAGTCCTGTTTTAGTCCTGTTTTAGTCCTGGTTTTAGTCTTGTTTTAGTCCTGGTTTAGTCCTGTTTTAGTCCTGGTTTAGTCCTGTTTTAGTTCTGGTTTAGTCTGTTTTAGTCCTGGTTTAGTCCTGTTTTAGTCCTGGTTTAGTCCTGTTTTAGTCCTGGTTTAGTCTGTTTTAGTCCTGGTTTAGTCCTGTTTTAGTCCTGGTTTAGTCTTGTTTTTAGTCCTGGTTTAGTCTTGTTTTAGTCCTGGTTTAGTCCTGTTTTAGTCCTGGTTTAGTCCTGGTTCAGTCCTGTTTTAGTCCTGGTTTAGTCCTGTTTTAGTCCTGGTTTAGTCTTGTTTTAGTCCTGGTTTAGTCTTGTTTTAGTCTTGTTTTAGTCCTGGTTTAGTCCTGTTTTAGTCCTGGTTTAGTCCTGTTTTAGTCCTGGTTCAGTCCTGTTTTAGTCCTGATTTAGTCCTGTTTTAGTCCTGGTTTAGTCTTGTTTTAGTCTTGTTTTAGTCCTGGTTTAGTCTTGTTTTAGTCCTGGTTTAGTCCTGTTTTAGTCCTGGTTTAGTCTTGTTTTGGTCCTGTTTTAGTCCTGGTTTTAGTCCTGTTTTAGTCCTGTTTAGTCCTTGTTTTTAGTCCTGTTTTTAGTCTTGTTTTAGTCCTGGTTTAGTCTTGTTTTAGTCCTGTTTTAGACCTGGTTTAGACCTGGTTTAGTCTTTTTTTAGTCCTGTTTTAGTCCTGTTTTAGACCTGTTTTATACCTGGTTTAGACCTGGTTTAGTCCTGTTTTAGTCCTGTTTTAGTCTTGTTTTAGTCCTGGTTTAGTCTTGTTTTTAGTCCTGGTTTAGTCTTTTTTAGTCCTGTTTTTAGTCTTGTTTTAGACCTGGTTTAGACCTGGTTTAGTCCTGCTTTAGTCCTGGTTTAGTCTTGTTTTAGTCCTGGTTTAGTCTTGTTTTAGTCCTGGTTTAGTCTTTTTTTAGTCCTGGTTTAGACCTGGTTTAGACCTGGTTTAGTCCTGGTTTAGTCCTGGTTCAGACTAGGATTCATATTTATTTCATAGTATCTTTTTGTTTTAATGACATATTTAAAATATTAATACCATTTTTAAAAGTAAATATTTGTATTGGCCATATTAGAGACACAGTGTCATGACATATTTCAGCCACTAGGAGGAGCAGTGTTCTCCCTAACCCCCACAGACTCCACCTCTGCTAAAAAGAAGCATATTCATATTCAGTTTTGTCAGTCAAAAGATCACAATAAATATCGTACCGTGAGATGTATATCGTGAAAATATCGAAACAATATCAAAACATTTGGATATCGTTGCATCTGTAGATGACGTCACACTTCCTTATCCACTTCTTTATACAGTCTACTACACTCTCTCTGTTATTCATCTTTAAATACTGGACTTCCATACGTACATCATGTTAATGCTTTTTCTGTGGAATCATTTTGACCATAAAATCATGCAAATGTTTTTCTATTTGTATTTATTGTTGTGAATTTAGGACAGTTTCCACCTGATTGAGCTGAGCCTTGAACACTAAACATAAACGCCCATATGAAAGTAAAACATACAGCAGTGATGTTCTAATCCAATTCCATAAAGACATAAAATAAAATCAGTTCTATTATTTTGCTGTGTACTTGTTTATTTATATCATCTGTTCCTCCACATTTATCCATGTGACTGTGAAGTATCAACTTTACCAGACATTTACTCTTAAAGCTGAAATGTGTAACTTTTCTGGTGGGGGGTCCGTCAACTGCTTTTCTTCAAGGAAACGTCATAGCTTTGTCTGGAATGTTCCACAGTGTGACATTAAACACATTTACCTACATCAGTGGTGTCCAAACTTTTTTCATCAAGGGCCACATTTGTAAACACAGATGACGCAGACGGCCAATCGAGGCCGTAGACTGATGCTCAATACAGTGAATAATTGAAATATGTGCATGTTTAACATGTTAGAATGACCATCAGTCTTTATTCATGCCAAGATCCTTAAGACCACACACTAAATATGAAATATTGCCTTTATCAAGGTAGATATTTCAAAAATCTTGCAGTAAAAAATATTTTTTTAACTGATGCAAGGTCATTTGGGCCAATTCACCTGGAAGTTTGAGGGCCAAGAAAAATTTGTCTGAGGGCCACATTTGGCCCCCGAGCCATAGTTTGGACATGTCTGACCTACATTTATTCAATTACAGGTGGTTTTACAGCTCAAAAATGCCTAGAAAAACAGACATTCTGATTGTGAGCAGGGTCACCTCTCCACAGATCTGACCTGTAACTTGGTCTGGTTTGGTCTCCATGATAGAAAGATTTAATGTGAAACATTCCAGACAAAGCAATAACATCTTCACAAAGAAAAGCATTTGATGGATAATCCACCAGAAAAGTTACACAATGCACCTTTAAAATGCTCAGTGTGTTCTGGTACAACTGTCACCATACAAAAGCACGATTATTCTTACAGAGAAATATTACAATCAACAATAATACTGAAACTATTTTTTCCACTGACAAAACACAAGATAATCCTAAACACATTTTAAAATCATCAGCATCATTAAAATGAAAGAGTTACAACAAATAAAAAGCAGAATGAACCAAAAATGATCCATAGAAGTGATTTATTCATCCCTCTACACCTCTGATCTGTTTGTCCTGGTCTGTTTGTGTCCTCCTCCTCTGTGTTACATCTCCACACTGTTCACTCACACAGTCGGCTGCTTTTGAATAATACATGAATAGTTAAAGCTGCACTGTGCAACTTTTCTAGTGGAGGGTCCACTACCTGCTCGTCTCCATGGAGATGTTATTGCTTTATCTATAATGTTCCACAGTATAGATTAAACCTATAGCAGGTTACAGCACTAGGCTACATTACAATTCAGATCTGTGGAGGGTCGCTCCTGTTCACACAAGTAATGTCATCAACAGTGTGTGATGCTAACTGTAAGCTCTGCTCTGTCTGAAGCTCTTTAGACTTTAATCTGAGCTTTATTTTAACACAATCTGACCAGAAAGAATTAGTTTGGCAGAACTACAACAGGTGACATGATTTAACTTGAACAAGTGTCTCACATAAAATGACAATCACAGCCAACAGTTTTTCTGTTACTCACTCTCACTTTTATGTCGAAAATCAAACTCTAAACACAACCATGAACACTCGTATTGATCACAGACTCCTGAAAATGAGAAGTTTAAACCCATTTAGTAGTTTTTCTTGAATTTTCATTTTACATACATGTAGAACACCCCCAGCGTGATGTCACTGCAAAGTATCAATTAAAAGCCCAGTATGTAACTTTTAAGACAAAAAAAAAAAAAAAAAAGATTAAAGCGTGTTATTTTTATAATACATATTTTGATCAGAAAGAACAAAAATGTGGCTGTTTGCTGCAGGTGTTCCAATCAGTAGGAGCAGGTAGAGGGTGCTCTTGGAAAAAAGGATCAAAACTCAAACACAACGGACTCCAGGCACTCCAAAACAGTAGAAAAAGTTAACACATCGCATGAGGAAAAATATAGTTAAAAGGCCTTTATTTGAATGGCCAAAGCCAACATGTTTCGACCTGAACTGGTCTTCATCAGGGCTAATAATTAATATTTAGAGTTTAAGAATCTTAACATGAATAAAGTCTGACGGCTCACTCTAACGTGTTAAACATGCAAATATTTCAATTATTCACTGTATTGAGCATCAGTCTACGGCCCTCGATCGGCCCTCTGCGTCATCTGTGTTTACATATGTGGCCCTTGATGAAAAAAGTTTGGACACTTTTAAGACAAAAAAAAAAAAAAAGAAGATAAAAGCGTGTTATTTTTATAATAAATATTTTGGTCGTTGCTGAAGTGAAACACATGCACTGTTACTGTGAGCGGGCTGGACTTGCATCTCCACAGACCTGATTCTTCTGTGACCTGGAGGAGGACCTCTTGTACCTGTCTTCATGGAAATGTTGTTGTTTCTGGTTATAATCTTCCACAGAATGACATAAAACTCTTCTCCATAAAGAATGTTCTGAATTATAGTTTTAACTCTTTCAACATTTTCCACTGAATCTCGCAGCCTCCACAAATATACTTGACCTTTAATCCTAATCATTCACAGAAGATTCATTTTTATGATTTCATTTATACTGCTGAATATATTCTGTCAGTGTTTTAGCATTCATGCATTTGAGGTGATCATGTCTAATGTGCAATATATATATATCATTCTTTTATTGTGTTAAATGTTGTCAAAGTTTAGAGTTTGGGTAAATAAAGTTAAAGCTGTAGTTCAGTGTTGTTCCTGCAGGGGGCAGTGCAGGATAAACTCAATACAGGATGAGTTCTGTTTGAGCCTTTGCTTTTGCTTTTTCACTGTGTATATTTTTTTACATATTTAGTTTTTAGTAATATTATAATTGTGTCTTTATCATGTAGTTTTTGGTTCATTTGTTGTGAACAGTGATGTACAGGTTTTATATGAGCACAATGTGAGTGATCATATCTCTTCACTTTATTTGGGCTGATTGTGTCTTAAATTTAATCAAGTTCATTTGTCAAATATGTTATGTAATTAACAAAAATGGTTTTATCAGATTTTTTTTTTTTTTTGTAAAGCATGGAATAAAATAAAATATAGTCTTTTTATATTTTGAAAGTAATTGTGTTCTTCTGTATAGATGTGTGATGTTATGTGAAAAAATATCCTACAAATTGGAATAAATAAATGACAATAAAACTAAATAAAAATAATAATAAAAATAATATAAATTTAAAATAATCTAAAAATTCTGTTTAAAATTGCATGTCTCTTTTTACAGTATAATTCCAGGCTAAAATGAAAATTTTGACGATACTGGGCATTCTTTTATTTATTTATTTATTGAGAAGAATTAAAACAAACGAAAACAAA